CGCTCAGAGATGTGTATAAGAGACAGGTAATTATTTCTCGAAAATGATACTTTGAAAAATAACTTTATCACACATGGTTGAATTCGTATTAAAATAACCTTTAATTTGGTCACAAAAAAAATTTAAAAATTTAAAAAAAAAAGTGAAGTAGTGGGGGGAAACATTAAAAAAATTAAAAAAATTTTTTTTACTACTATCATAAAGTTCACTTCATGCCATTTAACTTTGATTCAAAACATTTTTTTCTACCTCTCATAGTTTCGACGATATTCACGTCGGAAGAAAAAAACCGATTTTTTTCAAGGGGTGGTTTCATCCCTTTAAAACGGAATTGAGCACCAACGAAAAATAGTTTCATGCTAGGGATAAACTGCTCTACTTTTACACCAAGAGTCAGATTTTTCTGAATTTTCGGGTTCGCAAACTTCCCTTGTCAGTATGGCTCCAGAATTGTTTAAAAAATAAACAGTAAAAATTTTGGTGATATAGAAGGTGTAATCGTGTATATTGATGATATATTAATTTTTGCAGAAACAAAAAAAATTCATGATTCAATTTTAAATAAAGGTCTGGACAGAGCAAGAAAATTAGGTATTAGATTTAATTCAAACAAAGTACAATTTAGAGTAAATAAAGTAAAATACCTAGGGCACAAATTTTCGAAAGTAGGTATGGAGCCCGATAAAGAAAAAGTGAAAGCTGTAGCAAATCTTAAAAGTCCACAGAATAAAAAAGAGGTGCAGAAAATATTGGGAATGTTCAATTATTTCCGTAATTTTATGCCTAATATGGCATAATATGAAATGTCTGAGCCGATAAGAAACTTATTGAAAAAAGATATAGAATTTTCGTGATCAACAAAACATCAACAAGCATTTAAAAGATTAAAAGAAGTACTAATGAAAGCTCCGGTATCAGCAAATTTTGATGTTAATAAAGAAATCACGATTCAGATAGATGCGTCTAACAAAGGTTTTAGAGCACGCTTATTACAATTGGAGAAACCAATATTCTTTGCATCGAGAAGTCTAACTGAATCGGAAATACAGTATGTGCAAATCGAAAAAGAAATGTTAGCAATAGTGTTCACGACACAGAAGAATTACATTTATGGAAAACGACGGTGTGGACAGATCACAAACCCTTGATTACGATTGTGAAGAAGAAGGTATCAGACATTGTTTCTCCTAGATTACAACGGTTAAAACTGAAACTACTTAGGTTTGATTTGGAGGCAAAATATTGTCCGGGAAAATATTTATATGTGGCGGATTTACTGTCTAGAGACTATAATATGGACCCAGTTGAAGAAGATCCGAGTATGTTAGAGATCGTACATAATATACACGCCATTATTAATATTTCACAAGAGAAGAAAATTAAATGCTTTCAAAAAGCAAGACAAAAAAGAAATGCTCAAGAAAGTTAAGAATTACTGTTTAAGTGGTTGGTCACAAAATAACGGTAAAGAAAATAAAAAACTAATGGCATTTAAAAATGTGAAAAATGATCTTAGTGTTATTGAAAATATTGTATTATTGTTAGAGCGCATTCCCATCTATATTATCGCCGCGCTCTTGGTCGCGGACTAGGGAGATAGGGGTCGCTTACTACGGATTATCTCTAGTATTAAGAAAGCATATGAGTTGTCACTACTGCGTTAAGCGTGAAGAGAAGAACATGTGTGCATTGTAAGAGCGTTTGAGTAAAGACAAGAAAAAGCCTTAAAAATCATCACGGACAGCATATTTTCCTCCACCACCTTTCCCCGGCAATACATTTCACAACTCTAACATTGGTCCTTCGAGCCGGATACAAGGAGGTGCATCGGGACTCTCCGAGGCAGCAAGCAAGAGGCGGAAATCGCCAGGAAGAAGCGTAGCAGCCACGGAAGCTTCCCGAAAGGAAAATGGTCGCTATCGGACATTACGGGTACGCAGTACAACGCTCGTGAAAGGGCCATACAGTTATTCCTGCAAGCAGGCGACGCGCGGTCTCTTTCTATCGCAAGTAAGGACGATACATCGCCGCCCTCCCTCGCACTGCCGGGAACGCAAGGCTCGCCGGGCCCCCCGCACCAGAGGATTTCCGCGGCAAGCGACGCACGACGTCTCTCTCTCGTACACATAAACGAGACATTGTCGCTAAGGCTCTCTATCACTCTCCCGCCCTCACGGCGGCGCGGAATTATTTCTGTTCCGATTCCTGGGGCATCTTGGCGCATTTCTAAGGCAAGGCGACTTCGAGCGGACGGCAAGGAGATTCCCCTGGTTCTATTCCGAGGAAGCCAAGGATCCTCGCCTGCAAGCGGGGCCTCTCACACACATCGAGGAAAGCTCCCCCCTTCCCCTGGGCCTCACGGAGCCGACTTCATACGATACAAGAGAAGATTTAGCATCGGCATCAACACTCTCGAGTGTGACAAGCGGTAACCGTATGTTAAGTCATTTGCGGTTCACAACCAAAAAGACGAAGTGATATCTATTAGTTACAAGACAGAATTATTCGCGATATATACATATAAGGTAAAATCCTAACCTCACATAACGTCACAGGCAAGTAGCCTCGCGTGAAAGAAAAGGAAAGCAATAATCAAAATAGCGCGACATAAGATTAAGGCAGTGTTAATTTACTTGCGCGATAATTAATTAGGCATTGCATAATGACTGATCTTTCAAGCTTAGTCAAATCTAGGGGCCGAGTCAAGGCCAAGTTGACTGCATTCGGTAGTTTCCTCTCTTTAGCAGAGATTGAAGTAGAAAAACAATTAGAATTAGCCAATCGATTGGAAAAAGCTGAAGCATTATGGAACGAGTTTGATTTACTGCAGAATAAAATAGAGGACTTGGACGAATCCGACGAGCGAATGCAGCAACGTATAGACTTCGAGGATACATACCACGAATTGATAAGTAAAGCGCGCCGAATGAGCTTGAAGGATCAGCCAGTGCACCCCCTGCTTTCAACAGCCATGCCACAAGCGCCAATGCAGGCACGAGCAGTAGCGTTAAACGAACCGGGCGTTGTACAATCGCGAGTAAAACTACCCAACATAGATTTGCCAAAATTCAATGGTAACTATGAACGATGGGTACCGTTCAGAGATCTTTTTGAATCGCTCATTGCAACAAATCCAGCTCTTTCCGCTGTTCAAAAATTATATTATTTAAGATCTGCTTTGACAGGTGAAGCAGCCAAGGTAATCGCTTCAATAGAGATAACTAATGATAATTACGCTGTCGCATGGGATCTGCTAAAGAGCAGGTTTGAGAACAAACGATTGATAGTACAATATCTCATTCAAACATTACTTGATTTAACGCCAATTAGCAAGGAATCTTATGCGGATTTAAGACTATTAGTGGATAACGTATCTCAATACATTCAAACCTTATCAAAGCTGGAGCAGCCTGTTGAAAGTTGGGGTACACTACTAATTCATATTGTATTACCCAAAATTGATAAAGGGTCGCGCAGAGAATGGGAATTAAAGCGGTCGACGATAGAACAATTTCCCACTATAACAGAGTTCATAGAATTTCTCATAAATCGTAGTTCATTTTTAGAAGCGCTGTCTCATGTGAATCGCAATGCGCAGCCCTCTGGTGAAGCTCGCAGCAGCAACAAAGCGGCTCATCCTCAAGGTAAGGGTGTCTCGCAAACATACGTCGCCACCGATAAAGGATCGTGCTCAATGTGCTCTAAGGATCACAAGTTATATGAATGTTGCACCTTTCTTGGCATGTCGGCAGAGGACAGAAACGCTGAAATAAGGAAAAAACGATTGTGCATTAAATGTTTCAAAAATTTTCACGGTCGAAATTGCAGGGCTTCCAATTGCAGGGAGTGCCATGGCAATCATAATACGTTACTGCACAAATCAAAAACAGCGTTCGAGTCCTCAAGTACAGATGGCACAAAAGCCAAGGCTAACGAAGAACATGCAGCAGCTAATCAGAGGGTGGCCGTTGCGACCGCAAGTGAAGGCGTGGCTACATCTCTAAATTATTGCAAGTGTTAGGGGATCCCCCAAGGTTCTCTTATCTACTGCCGTTGTTTTGATGCGTGATGGAGCCGGAACATTGCACGAGTGTCGAGCTCTCCTTGACAGTGGATCGCAGTCCAACTTTATAACGCGCAAACTCAGCAAAAAATTAAATCTAAAATTAGAGTCGAGTAGCATTTCCATTGTGGGTATAAATAATGCGCCAATAAGAATTGCTCAACAGACACATGCGACTATTCGATCGCGAGTAAACGAGTTTCATATTAATCTTTCACTTTTTATTGTTGACAAGATTACAGAACGGTTGCCAGCTTGCAAAATAGACAGGTCAACCTTAAATATTCCTACCAATATAACATTAGCAGATCCATCGTATTATCTTCCTAACGATGTAGATTTATTATTGGGAGCGTCAGTATTTTGGGAGCTTGTACGTGGAGAGCAAATTAGAGGACCAATTCGATCTCTTGTGTTACAAGAAACACTATTAGGATGGATAATTTCAGGTTACGTACCGGCGGACGAACCATGTCCCAAAAGAAAGTCCTATTGTGGAATAGCTACAACTCTACACAAACAGCTCGAAAGGTTCTGGAACATAGAGGAAATAAAACAGCAATCACTCGAATCGCAAGAGGAAAATCATGGGAAGAACACTTCGTAGCTACGCACTCCAGGGACAACAAGGGTCGATTCACAGCCCAGCTTACCGTTAAAAAACAACATTAATGAACTAGGTGACTCACGTGGCGCAGCATTAAAACGACTGAAGGCGGTGGAGCGAAAACTTAGGAAGCAGCCGCAATTAAGGCAAGACTATTACGCATTTATGTCGGAATATTTAGAATTAAATCATATGAAAGAAGTCTTGCCCGAGGAAATGCAACTTGAACTAGTTTATTATCTCCCTCACCACGCTGTGATTAAGGAAGACAGCGATACGACGAAAATAAGAGTCGTATTCGATGCGTCATGCAAGTCGTCTACGGGAATATCTTTAAACGACTGTCTTAAAATAGGACCACCTATCCAGGCAGACCTAGTTGACATCCTTTTACGACTACGTCAGCATCAGTATGCAATGTCAGCAGATATCACCAAAATGTATCGACAAGTCAACATCGCTAAGGAACACACCCATCTGCAAAGAATTCTGTGGAGATGGAGCGAAGATGAGCCCGTTCGCACATTTCGCCTTACTATTACTTAACCACCGTTACTTATGGCTTGGCCAGCTCATCTTTTCTGACCATTAGATGCCTGCAAGAAGTCGCATTACAAGGACAAGAAGAGCATCCTGATGCAAGTAGAGCAATAGCGAACGACTTCTACGTAGACGATCTATTGACAGGAACGCAAACTCCAGAAGATCTCAAAAAATTAAGGCAAGAAATAACTGAGATGCTGAGCAACGCAGGGTTTGAACTTCGAAAATGGAAATCCAACTGTTCGGGAATCAGTGATAAAGTCAACAATAACAGCTCCACAGTAGAGATAGGAGAACCCGCCAAAATATTAGGCCTATTATGGGACACAACCGAGGACACTTTCCATTATAAATTGCGATTGTCGGAAGAAAAGGGAACAGTCACCAAGCGCAGTATATTGGCTCAAGTCGCTCAAATATATGATCCTCTTGGACTATTAAGGCCAATCGTGGTCAAGGCTAAAATAATCTTACATCGCCTATGGCAGGATAGTGGCGGCTGGGACGAAAAAGTCACGGGAGAAACACTCCGACTCTGGAAACAATGGAGATCGCAAATTCATGACATTCAAACAATCGCAATACCTAGAAGGGTAGCGGAGCAGTCAGCTCAAATAGAAATGCACGGATTTTGCGATGCGTCGGAGAGAGCATATGGCGCGTGCCTATACCTTCGCAATATCAAGGCCGATGATACGTATATTACCAGACTATTATGTGCAAAATCACGTATAGCTCCATTAAAAAAGGTATCATTGCCCAGATTGGAATTATGTGGAGCAGTCTTGCTGGCACACCTGACTGAAAAGGCTATGCATGCATTAAGCATTACGGTGCATCAGATCTACTATTGGAGCGATTCTACTATAACGTTATCATGGATCGGTGGAGAGCCCAACAAATGGAATACATTTGTAGCTAATAGAGTGGCGGAGATACATCGGATCACCGATAAAGCGTCATGGTATCACATAAAATCAGAAGATAATCCTGCTGACCCGTTATCAAGAGGAATCAGCCCTAATAAGTTAAGATCAAAGAAGATTTGGTGGGAAGGCCCAGAATTCTTGCAACACGAATCAACATTGCAGGCATATGACTGCAGAAGCAATGAATCTCACATACCGGAAAGGCGTAATGTAAAATCAGTAGTACTTGCATCAACAAACAGTGTTAACCCATCCATCATTCAGAAGTTCTCGTCACTTACCAGATTAAGGCGCGTAGTAGCTTATTGCTTGCGGTTTAAGAGCAACTCGTTAAAGTCTACAAATCGCGTTGGCGGCTCATTAACAGTATTAGAATTAGAACAGGCCATGACAGCAGTGATAAAAATCTGTCAGGCGAACGAATTCTCAAAAGAATTGGACATTTTAGTCAAGGGAGCGAAGGTAGATTTGAAAAGTAGGCTTTCGACCTTGCATCCATTTCTTGATTCCAGCGGCATCATTCGTGTGGGGGGAAGGCTCCATCATGCACCATTAGAATATACGCAGAAGCATCCTATTGTGTTGCCAAAAAAGAATCATCTTACCGATTTAATAATAAGAGACGCGCATTATAGAAACTTGCATGCTGGTCCGCAGGCAGTTTTAGCAATGTTGCGCAACGAATTTTGGCCAATAGCCGGTAAGAGCGAAGTGCGTAAAATATTAAGAAACTGTATTGTCTGTTTTCGCGTCAAACCCGCCAATGTAACCTAACTAATGGAAAATCTGCCAGCAGTAAGGGTAACGCAAGCTAGAGCATTTTATAACACCGGCATCGACTATGCAGGTCCCTTCAATATAAAAATATCGAGAAACAAAACGGGTAAGGCATACTTGGCGATTTTTATATGTTTAGCTACCAAGGCGGTTCATTTTGAACTAGTATCGGACCTAACTGCCGCGGCTTTTCTCAACGCGCTAAAGCGTTTCATTTCTCGAAGGGGAAGATGTGCCACATTGTAT